GAAAACAATACCAAATAAAACTGGAAAACCCAACAACGTAAAGCGAGCGCAACAATAATAGCACTTTGATGACATCGTCACTGACGATACTGAGATGAGTAAGCGAGGAAATTGTGCTGATTTTCACAGGGCAAATAGAATTTTTGAGTAGCCTAAATGGATGACAATTTCGACAATTTTTGGGTTTTCACTTCCGCAAAGTTCATTTGGACGATCCTTTTCACATGAGAATAAAAGATTAATTTAGATACACGCGGGCGACAGGAAGATGATTTCTAGAAGAGGAGACACGAAAGGTTAAAAAAGCGAATTTTCCTATGTATATTTACTACATTTCTTCTAATTTAGAAAAAAATTAATTTAATTTTTTTATTTTATTGAACTGTTTTAATATATATACCCAAACCATAAAATTGGAGGAGAAGCTCACGCCGAAAATCGCTTTGGTGGTTAGAAAGCGCCAATTATTTGATTTTATTTACATTTATTTCACTTTCATTTGTTTTATTTAGCATTATTTATTTTTTTTTGCAATTTAATTTGTTTATTTTATTATTTACTAACATTACTTTATTTTATTTTTAGTTTAGGAATAAAAATTTCATAATTTTTGGTTATAAGTTTATAGTGACCAGAAGGTACCTGATAATTTAATTTGTTTCTCATAATTTGAGTGATTTTATCTTTTTATTTTATATAAATTTATTTTGTTTTATTTTAGTTCATTTAATTTTATTTTATTTTAATTAATTTAATTCTATTTAATTTAATTTAGTTTTTATTTCATATAAAACACTTTGATAATTTCATTTTACTTTACACATCTCACCGTTAACTAACAACGCAAAGTCACAATACCATCTCTTAGCTGTTTTAAATATTTATATTACATATGTACATATGTACCCATATGTATCCATATGTTGTATGTACATTTTTGTATATGCAAATATTGTTGTTGGGAAGATAACCTCGAACACATTGTTGGTTATTAATGTTGGCCGTCAATTATGTTTTAATTGTCATAAAAGCTTTCACCTCGTTGACACAAACCCATCGAGGATTACATATAAATAAACATATACACGTATGTATTTATACAACTGCAATAGAGCTAAACCACCTACAAAACTCTTACCAACATTAATCCAACTTCACTAAGCCCAAAAACATATGCTTTGTGCGTACAGCGCTGGCATCAGGCCAAGCTTCGCTTAGCTTTTTGGAAAGTAAAGGGTTTAATGAAACTTCAGATGAGTGAGCGCAAATGTGGATTTTTGTTGTCAGGGAGAAATGTAAACAATTAAATCCAGTGAGAAAGACTCAATTGAATTGTGGGGCTACGATACAAACACTAAACCAAAAAGAATTAGGTCTGTTCGATTTATGTATGTACACATTTTTAACCATTTTTGTACGTTATATATATATATATATATTTCAATTTTATTTAACTTTTTATCTCATTTTGTTTTATTTATTTCAATAATTTTTCTGTTTTGTTATATTATTTTATGTCCTTTATTATAAACAAAATATAAAGATTTATTTAAATATTTATCTATTTGTTTAATGTTAAAAACTTATAAGCTACTAAATTTTATATAAATATTTCTCCGTATTTATTTGATATAAGCTCTAGTTCAAGGGGCGACCGCAATTACAAAAATTAATTCTGTATGTTGGTCAAACCGGGGCTTGAACCCTGGTCCACCGAATAACAGAATTCGGCTATTACGGCCACCCATGCGTTAAATTACTCATTATTAAAATGCAAGGATATAAAAAAGGATCCCCAAAAAATAAGTGTCCTCTTGCATGTTTAAATAAGACTGCGACAACGAATGGAGTAGAATCAAATTGTGAAGCATAATACCAACCAAGCAACCAACGCTGCCGGATGTTGCAACAGCCATTGCATTTTTCACAGTATTCACTCAACCTCAATGCGACTGACTACTTCCTGTCACTTCTTGCATTCCCTGGCCTTGTGTGGTATGGTGCACCGGTTGCTGCTGCCTTGCACTTGTTCGCGCTCTTTGCCACCTACGACACGGAACGGTATTTTTGCATTTTATATGCGCGCTAATTATTTATTGAAAACGCCTGAATATGAGCGACGTTTAAAGGGAAACAACGAGGGCGCATCGCAATAATTCGCTTGAGTGGTGGAGTTCATGAACGGACGATTGGGCGAGCTGGTGGGGCAAAGTAATGCCTTCAATCAACCAATCGACCAAGGGACCATGCGACCATGCCACCAACCGCGCATGGGCAATTGTAAAATATTAAAATTTGTGTGCAATTTATAATTTACGAATATTTGCCATTTTAATTAATTTTTACACATGATTGAAATCAAATTAAATAAAAAAGTTGCTGAAAAAACAGCAACAGAAATAATGCTGGCCTCGCAAATTTATATGTATGTACATATGTACTCGTATGTGTTTATATGTACTATGTGCATACGAGTACATATGTATAAAGCCGACAAATAAATAATTATGAAAATGCGCATGCCGGACTGACAGACAAAAGAAAAAAAATAAATTAAACAAAATCGATGCAGCGCAGTAATGCATCCCGCGCCGCCGACCGCCTCGCTGGGGGATTACGAGCTAACGAGCACACATTCATATACATGTACACATGTACATATCCATATTTATGATTTGTTAGTATGCATTTTGCGTTTTTTGTGGCCAAATTTATTGTTGTGAAAAGTGTTAATGGAATTTTGATTTTTGAGGTGTTTGCGCCATTTTTACGTTTACACACACATACGTTTGCAACAACATACTCGTATGTACATATGTAGGCAAAAAAACAGAAAAATAAAAGCATATATTTAGGCGCATAAACGCACTGTTATTGAAAATACGAGTATGCGAACCCCACTAATGACTGCACCTAAATGTATGCTGCAATAATGTTGTACTGAATTTGCGAAAATTGATTCGATTTATTTGAAGCCGATTGACAGCTTGAAAGCATTACCAACAACTGGCAATTTCTATAGCATTATAAAGGAATAAAGAATAGCCGATTGCGGCCGGAAATACGATAAGTAAGACTTAAAAAAGAGATTTACGATTATGAAAGAAAAAATAAAGGAAATAATTTAATTAAAAGGGGTAACAAAAAATTTAATAATGCAGTGTAATGTGTTCTAAATATATTAGGAATTAGGTAATAATGAATTATAGAAAACGTAAAAACCGGCATAATTAAAAAGGACTTGAAGGGGTTTATTTGGTGGTCTAGTTTTAACAATTTTTTTATATAAAAAATGAAATAATTTTATTCGAACTATTTACTGTTTTAAAAATTCTGCATTTGAATAAGAATCTCTGAAATTGATATTCCCAACTCCGCCATTGTGGCGACATTTCCAGTGATCCGAGTCATCCGAAGTGAAGCGTGCTTTAGTTTACTAGAATTCCAACAAAGGAAGGCACACAGAAAATTTTTTTTTTATTTTACAAAAAAAATATATATATTTTGGTGAGACTTGGTCAACATTTTTCTAAACAGTTGTGATTTAAAAACAAAATTATTCGTCTGGGTCTTCGTAAATTTTATCTCGAAGACCTGTGTAAACTTACGTAAAGTTTTTGACAACCTGACTCCCGAGCTTTTATTGCGATCGACTTGAAAATAAAGGCTAAAATTTTCGAGCTGTTGCAGAAATTAAACAGATAATAAAAAATAAGTTTTTTTAAGCTGTGAAGCCCAAATATAAATGTATGCATAAAAGCAATATTTGCGGTTTGCCAACAGGTATTTAATCAATTTTAGTTAACCGACACTTTTTATTCAAATAGACAGCACAATTTTCAACTACTTTGGCAAAAGTTTGTAATTAGAAATTTAACTGTTGGGTAGATGAGCCATGGGAGGAAAGTGTTTGACTGCTATCCATTGACAGCTTAAAAACTGACATCACCGCCGTCCAAGATGGACAGGATGGACAGGACAAGTCCGGTTGAAGGTGGGTCCTTGTAACATTTACTACAGCGGCCATATAACGGAGCGCAAATTTGGTGTTGGTTTTGTGGTGAGAGAGAGCCTCTGTCGACGAGTACTGGCATTCACTCCGGTGGATGAACGTCTCGTCTCGCCACAATCCGCATCAAAACGAAATTTTTTAATGCCACGCTGATTTGCTTCCACGATGTCAAGATTGTGTTTGGCGACTTGAATGGCAGGGTGGGCAAGGAAATTATATTCGGCACAGCTGTCAGAAAATTCAGCCACTACGACGAAACATCCCCAAATGAGTTGAGGCTGATCCACTTCGCCTGGGCCCGAAATGTGGTTATCTGTAGCACTAGATTCCTGCACAAGAAACATCACCAAGCTAATTAACAGTCTCCTGATCAAAAAACACAAAACTACATCGACCACGTTGTGTTAGACGGAATACATGTCTCCCGTGTTCTTGACGTGCGTACACTCCGAGTACCCAACATAGAATCGGTTCACTATCTTGTTGCAGCAAAGATACACACACGTCTCTGTGTATCAAAAAACGTCCGTCAACAAACACAAGGGAGTGCAGTAATCACAAGATTCTGCCGAGCAATTTTCTACTCAGCACCTTGATATAAGGGTACTGTGGAACGGCATCCCAAACTACCTATGTACCGCCGCTACTGACGTTAGACAACACCACAAGCAACACAGTCAGAATTGGGAAGGACCTCTCAGAGCCGTTCGGTACCAAACGAGTTTTCAGACAGGGTGCTGGAGAGGATAATAAGAGCTGCAGAATCAAATAGAGAAGGTACAATCTCCTGTGTTCCACTATTGGCACAGAGGCGTGGACGATGCCAACAGCTCAGCTGATGAGTCGGCTTTGGGAGTCTTCGAGGGAAAACTTTTATGGTTCTTTGCGCATGGACAACAGCGAATACCGCAGACGATGGAACAATAAGCAGTTTGATGACATTGACATAATTCAACGATTGAACAGACAGCGGCTACGCTGGCTAGGTCATGTCGTCCGAATGGATGTATTCGATGCAGTGCCCACAGGTGGAAGCAGAGGAAGAATAAGACCCCCCTCCGTTAAAACAAGGAGTGAATAGCGCGTTATAATTGATTCGACTATAATCGCGTAAGCGGTCAAATAAATAAGAAGATTCGTCAAAAAATGTTGTAAAAGAAATAATTTAAAAAAAATTAGGGTTAATAAGATTAAAAAACTTTCCAAGAAAAGTGGATAACAAAGATCATAGAAATCCAAATAAAAAACCGACTGTTTTTAATCCAAATCCAAAATCTTAGAAGTACAAATTAAAAAAAAAAACACTGGGAAAAATATAAAAAGAAAACATTTAATTAAAAAAAAAAAGCTGAAAGATTCTCTTCTTACTAAAATTTAGAGAAATGTTAAGTTAATTATAAAAAGTATAAAATAAAAAAGATATAAAAATTTTACATAAAAAGGAACCGCAAGGACCAATTTGTGTGACAAATTTAAGAGGCGAATTTTTAGAAAATTATTTGCTGGTGAAATGGGATATCTGCAGCTGAATTGAAAAAATATTGTATATATTTAATACCAACTTATTTTTTCATACACCCCTCAATTGATTGATTGCGTTTAATTCAATTGCATAAGGCCGGTAAACATAAATGGATAACTCAAACTGATAAACTATTTCAGCTGTCAAAAGGTGCATGTAAAACCACTAATTTACGAAAATAGCAAATAACTGTTCATACAAAAAGTACAGTGTGTTTGTGTGTGCGTGTGTTGAACAAAGAAAGCAACAACTAAACTGTAAACAAACTTGAATAAGTAAAAGTAAACACGAATACGAACGGACATAACCTCAAACCACAGCAAACGGTAATTAAAATCCACTCAAACTGATATAAATCACAAGTAAATAAAAAATGGGAAAATAAATATAAAAAACAACACGGAATAAGACGACAAATTTAAATACACCCATACATACACACGATATGTATAAGAGCAGCAAGCAAGGAAACCCACAAGACAACACACAGGACAGGAAAAGCTGACGCTAAAGATTTCTTAGCCACAATCGGAAAAATATATGCAAAAGCATACATGTGAACAAAAAAAATAAAAAATATTAAAAAAGTTCCATTGAAAAGAAATTAACAAGACAAGTACAAGTACCACTAAGCCAACTGCCTTACTGTCGCTTTGCCCACACACCTCACGTCTAAAAACTTTCGATAAACGCCGATGCTGCATAGCTCAGAAGCAAAATGAACGCAGAACAAATCAATTAAGGCAATTGAAGAGCGAGTATCATATGCCAAGGAAGCAACACAACAAACAACTCAGCTCGTCGGGCTGAAAAACCCAAAGCAACAGTAAAAATCTTTGTAAAATTGACAACCCGACAAAAGCTGTCCCCAGACTGCTGGCGGCAAGAAAAAGAGGCATTTGAAAAAAATAAAATAACGATGACATTTTGTAGCATAAGCCAAGGCGTTTAACACGTGCAAGAGACAACTCAAACAAATGTGCGCTCACGCTAATTGGCCAGTCGACAAAGGACGCTACCGCCGAATTGGAAGAGAAAAAATGCGAGCGACGACTAGCTCGCTTAAGAAGGCAAATAGGCGAGAGCATATGAAATGTTTCGAAAAAAAAAATGTACAAATAAATGTGTATGCAGCCTTATGCTACAGAGAACGCGAAAAAGGTAAACACACACGACTCTATTTGTAAAAGAGTTTTGTAGAAAAAAAAACAGTAATCGTCACAGAGTTGCATTTCAGTTGAATGATTCTATGTAAATTGGATTAAAATGATGCAGTTATTTAAGGCAATTAAATGTAAACAAACTAACACTACCAAAAAAGGAGAGTTGAGGGTTGAGCAATGAGAGAGAGCAGTGAGAGTTCGGTGCGAGTACACGAGAGAGCACATCAAATAGAGTCAGTTTGCGAAAACGAAAATTTTGCGTCACTCAAAGTTTTGAGTATTCTATAAATTGAAGTTGAAAATACAGGGCCAGGCAGTTTGAGGGTAATCACGATACCCGAGTTAAATTTTGCAGAACATTTATTGTACATACATACATACAAAAAGTGGAGCCACCTACTATTTATTTTAAGCCGCCTCCGAACGGTTGATGTATTTCTATGAAGAACATTTATTTCATGTCGAAAATACAAGCGGCGGAATTGACATTCGCAATCCGATAAAATTATTTAAAATTTATTTTTTTATATTTAATTTAGGATCCAAATCCATGATCTCATGCGTAATATATATGGAACGCACAAATGAATATTAAGTTTCTAAAATTCTTACACCATTTAAGCTTAACAGGCCCGCAATAGATTAGAAATTAATAGCAGCAAACACAGGTTGAGTTCCTCCTGTGACTTGTTTGTGTCTTTTGCCGAAATGAGAGAAAGAATAAGCAATTATATGATAACTTTACGTCCTTAAATAAAGATATTATATTCTTTGTGTAAAAAAAGGTCAGAAAAATGCAACAAATATACGCAGCACTAATTTCTCTCTAATTCCTCTCTTTCTCCCTCACACAATACACACTCATTGACAAACCACTCAAGTCCAATGCTCTTCCGGAAGAAACAATCGGTTGCATTGCCTCTCTGTTTACATAAAAGAGCTTTGCTCACCTGCAAATACAGCAGCAGCAGCAAACAACAACACACACATGCACGTGTCAACGGCGTACAACATAGTTAATCCCACAAATTGGTCGAAAATATGAAAATTTGCACCCGCGCAAATATAGACTCTTGGGTCGACACTGCGCCACCCTTCGGCAGAGAGGACGTACCAACTACGTACAATATGCAAATGAATAAGGGAGCGTGTGTTTCTATTATATATCGTGCATGTCGACGTTTGGCATTGTGGAAACCAAAAGAGACTCCAATTAAAGCTGTAAAATACACAGGCATACACAAACATGAATAGAAGAATGGCGGAGCGAGCAACTGTCGGCCGACGACAGACTGAGCAGCCACAACAGTATGGACATACTCATGAAACTAATGATCAACTACACTCCCGACCTACACTGCTTGTTTGTGCGCCTAAAAGTATGCACCACTCGATTGGCTATAAATACGCGCGCGCAATTACGGTCATAAATCAGTTGAAAACGAATTTTGGACACGTGCGGTAGTAGCCAAAGCTTCGCGATACCAAACAAACGTATGCAAAGCAACGCAAATTTAATTGGTTAATTGCAATTTGCATAGATTTAAAGCCCTCAAGCGGACAAAAAGAATTTTTACAAAAAATAAATTTACTACGCGTCCAGCATTTCCTCCTCGAAATCAAAAAGCAGAGCGCACAAAGGATTAGTGCCTGCTGTTTGTTATTTTTTACTTCTTCTTTTTGAGTGCGGGAAATGTTTACTAATTGGCTAACAGGCACCACGGGCTCGAGTAACGGCAACAGCACACCAACGACAACGATTGGTGTTAACTCGAATGCAGTGACGGACTCTGGCGAATCCGTTGTGTTGCCAGTAGGCACAGTTGCTGCCGCCGCTGCTGCTGCAGCCGGTTCCTTAGCAACGAGCATTATGTCCACACCCCCTGATGTGGTGTTAGAAGTAGGTCCCGCCGGTCCGAGCAGCGCACGCTTTGTGGCGCATAGTCTTGTACTAGGCATGCACAGCGGTTATTTGCGTTCCGCAATACGTTTGGACGAGAATACCGCCATAGTCGGAGCCGGCAATGAGTTCATCCTATACTTAGGTAATGTGACCGCAGAGCAGTTCAGTCCATTGCTCACATACATGTATACTGGTTATTTAGACTTGAATGTAGAAAACATATTTGGTGTGCTTTTGGCAACTCACGTGCTTCACATGCCGCGCGCGCTCGAGATTTGCCGGTAAGTGTTTAAAATAGAAAAAATTAAGTAACTACAGAAACTCATGCTTTGTAGTTCACTAAAAGATGTGTTCTTTCCACTTCCAGTTCCTTTTTAGCACGCGCGCAAACCGAAGGCTATATAGCCAGCAATCCTATAGCAGGCCAGTTGTCTGCTGGAGCAAATACAAGCACGAAAATTATACGTCCCATACCCAGTAAGGCTACTCTGCCGAACTTTGGTTTTGTGCCGCTTAGTACGACACATGCAACCCACGCACAATCACAAACTGTTTTAACTTCAAACAACAGTGTCAATTACAAGCAGTTGCAGGTGTATGGGAACGGTACTGCGTTGGCTCCAAACAATCGTTGCGAAATGCGTCCAGCGAGTATTGAAATCGACATCGACCGCTCAACGCCACGCCAACACATGCTGGTCGATGAGGATGAGGAAGATGTTGAAGTTTTCATCGATAACAATACAGAGTCCGATCCAGAGGGTGATCTCGATTGCGCAATTTCGGTAACATCGCACTCATCAAAACGAGAATCCCTCGACAATAAGCATGAGTCGCGTGATAGTAGTGGAGAATGTGAAATCATAGTAACTGTTGCTGAGCCGCCGGTACCGATTGAGAAAGCGCGTACAGATCGCGATAGAGAAATAGTACGTGCGGGCCGTAATAAGTCAAATACATCCAATGGTTGTGCAGCACCAGATAACAACACCAGCAAGAGCGAACGACGTAGACAATCGCGTAAACATCACAAAACCAGCGGTTCACGTGCATCTGGACTGCAGGTGGCCAAAGCGCCAATACCAGCTTCGCAACTGGATAACAACGAAAGCTCGAAGGTGATCATTGACGTCGCGAGCTGCGACGGGCCGGTGCGCTTTCGACGCATACTCAACACAGCGTACGGACATGAACCGGAAGACTATGCAGTTATGCCCGAACGTAGTCAGCAAAGCCTTTCGCTCTCCTTCCATCAACAAATGGCAAAGGCTATAAACCAACAGCGACAGCTCGCCACGGCCAATGAGGAGTCCGAGAATAGCGAATCCAGTGGCGGCGGAGGCAGTGGTGGCGCACAGAATGCTGCTGGAGGTGGCGGTAATGGTAAGCAGAATAAGAGCGCTAACAATGAGATCTACGTTTGTGTATATTGCAAGCACACTTTTAAGTCACAGTATTGCTATCAGAAGCACGCAAAGCGTCATCTCAATCCGCTCAGTCTCAATTGCGCTGCCGCCGCAGCTTCAGCGGCAGTCAAAATGGGGAATGCTAGTGCCGATGTTGACGAGAAGATAACAGCAGCGTCCGCAAAGTCGGCGCAAAGTGTTAGTGGTGTTAGTAGCGGTTTCAATTTAACATGCAGCGGCGGAGGCCTCCCACTACCCATTATGACCAGCAAACAAGGTGCGAGCGAGCTGATGCGTCGTGAAGTGCGTCCGCTGGACATGAACGTGCAGTATTATCCATGCAAGACGTGTGGCAGCAAGTTTCCTAGTTACTACTTTGTGCATAAACATCGGAAGATGTGCCATGCCGAGGAGGAAGCGGCAGCCGCGGCAGAAGCCGCGAACAAGCGGGAGACTGGTGCTGGGAATGGTGCTACCGGAAGTGGTGGGGGTGAAGCAAAGCGTGAAAAGTCAACGGAAAAAGTATTGGATTAATGAAAGTTCATAAAAACTAATTTCAATAAGGAAATATAAAGAGAAAAAAAGGATTGGACAAAGGAACAATTTGATTGGAAATTAAGAGACACACGTATGTAAGTACATACGTATGTATGTAGTAGGTTCCCAATAAAAGCTATGGAAAAAATTACTAACACACACGAATTTAATTAGCAACTTAATTAACATGAATTGTAAACAAATTAGATTTTAGCACAAAAATAAAAAAAGGAAAAGAAATATACAAAAAGAGATGCACAAAAGATAAAATGGCAATTAACAAACAAAGTAATAAACGAAATTTGCGAAAATAATACCAAAGTCAGTATGTATTTACTTTTCATTTACATTTAAGAAGAGTAGAAGGAGGCGTCTGCTGCCGTTAAAAGAAATCCACTCAGGAGTACGGAGGCTCTTCTTATATACTTCTGAATGGTAGAGGTGGAAATAAAAAAAACGTTGTGAAAATATTTGAAATTAATTACAGACTTATTTGTGCTGAGCAAATAATTAGAGAAAAAATGCCAAAAGGGGCGGAAGTAGTAACAGAAAAATTGGCAAAAACGACTGAGGAGGGAGGTTAAATAAGAAAAGAGAATAAGTAAAATAAGTAAAAGTGACTGAGCGATTAGTGCTGTGGGTTTTGAAGGTAAATATTCTCGAGCTTAATTAACACACAAGGGAACAAAGCCCAAGCATAGTGACAATAAACCGCAACCAAAAATCGTTGGATAAAAATATATACATACAAACTTATGGACGTACGAGTAGTAGTATAGTGTGTCATACACATTAGTGTTATAAGTATTTGCGATTTTCAAAATTTACATAAAATTCTGTGAATTATAAATAACTCCTAAGAGGTCTTTTTTTAAATTTTGTGAAACCTTTTCAGACCAAAGAAAAAATAGAATTTATAGTTCTAATAAAAAGCTATCCATTACTTTTGCAATATCTAACTTTAGTGGTCTGCATATCGCGGTCAATATGTGCGATTGGGTTACGCTAAATAGCGCTAAAAAGATGATAGATTTACTAAAAAAGATAACGGTAAAATTGCATCCCACACGTGAGTACATGCACTGTACAATTTCACTGCAAGAGATTCGAGGGAAAAATCGACGAGATAATCGACTACATCACGCGGGAGCATCTGTCAACTGCTGCAATCCAGAAAACCAAGTTGATCGCCCGTTCGGATCTTCTAAGCTGGGCGTGATGCAATATTGTCCGCGAGAACCGCGAGCGAGACCATGGTGGATGATTAGCGTTCATCTTACACAACACCGTGCATTATCGTCTTATCGATGGCGGCACTGACCGGATATCACCCTAGAATATCAGGGCATAGCTATCCGGTCCGGCGATGGCGAGCTCGAAATATTTAATATATACATTCCTCCTGTTACAAGTTGCCCAGCTGGGTATAGCCCTGATGTAGGTGCGCTAGTCAGAGGCGGGAGGACCCGTTTGGTTTTTGGGCGACTTTAAAGCGCATCACGATCATTGGCATTCTAGGCTGTCAAATGACCGTAGAGGAATGGCGCAACAGATAGGCGATTCGACATTTTGCACAATGAAAGATAATACCCCCACTTGAGTTGTGGGTAATTGACCGAACTTACCAGACATAACAATTGAGAAGTCTGGTCTGATAAACAGTATAGCCTGGCTTTCTATAGTGACACTAGCATCGGACCACTTACCCAAATAGATCTCGATTGACAGACCTACTAACTTTGTTTCCATCGACCACCAGACATTTGTTAAAAAGCTAACTGGTCCGGCTTCAGGGAATTTACCGAGAATGCCTTTCGTGCTCTCCCCACTCCATCAAATGTCACTGCCGTCCTAATTTTCCGATGAAAGGGCGGTTCTAGCATCAAGGTGCGACACCATTCGCAACGCTTAACCTAAATAAGGGATCTAATTTAGGACTGGGCTACAGTCAAGTCATTGTCTAACCCGATGACACGATGACCGAGTGGAAAGTTCATTCGGTGTCCGCGCCTCTGCATCCCGCCGCCTACGCAAAGTGCCAAACACCATCGCAACACTCAATTTCTCTAGTACAGAGGTTTAGGGGGTCATCGGAAAGGCGAAAGCCTAACAAATCCATCGGCCCCGACCATGTTGATGATAAAACATCTTGGATCAGCAGGAGCACGTCTTTGACTACTCTAAAAATACCCGATGTGTGGAAAATGGGTAGGGTGTTCCCGTTACTCATGCCGGAGAAACTAGCCAACAAAGGAGAGTCATCTCGGCCTTATATCTCTCGTCTCTCCAGTAGGGAAAATACTTGAGGTCTTACTGCTCCCGACGTTCACTCGCCATCTGAGTCCAACAGCATATCAGCATGGTTTCCGCAAAGTGCATAGTACAACAACAGCACTTAACGTCATAAACACCCAGATAGTCAATGCTCTTAACCAAAACCGGCCTTGCGCACGACCTGGTAGCACTGGATCTGTCAAAAGCTTTTGACACCAACAACCATTCAGTGCTAATATCGGACATTGAGGAATCCTCATTACCGCCGGGGTTGAACAGGTGGATCAAGGGTTATCTGTGTGGTCGTCAATCATCGGTACAATTTCGAAGCGAAACATCGAGGCTTAGGAAGATTAAACAAGAGGTTCCGCAGGGTGGTATCATCTACCCACTATTGATTAATTTCAATATTTCGAAACGCCCTCCTTTACCAGAAGGGGTTTCGTTGACCACATATGTCGATGATTACTCGTCATTGAAGTCAGGCCACGATATTGATGATCTTTGTTCGAAGGTGAACGGCTATCTCGGCGATCTGTCCCAAATATGACCGCAACTGCCACAAAACTCCAGAGCCGCAAAAAAATACTAAAAGCACTAGGCGGCAGCACTTTGGTTGAAGATAAAAAAAACCGTGCTGGCAACCTACAAAGCAATTAGCAGGCCGGTCGTTAACTATGCTGCACGGATCTGGGCACCGGATACAAACGAAATCATCTGCATCACAGCAGCCACAGGCTTGCCAGAACACCGCCCTCAGGATAGCAACATCTCCTGATGTCGCCGGAGCATCACTTGCACAGTGAACACCCCAAGCGGCATCTCATTGAAGCTGAGCCTCCACCCAGACACATCAGAAAGGGTGTAGTAGACATGAAAGACACCATCCAGCAACACGTTCAACAACCGCTGGACAGTACGACTTACAGACAAGCACTAAACGCCATTCACTAGGAGTCAGTCAACAAGTTTGTGTTTAAACTTTACATTACTTTTTGATGGGGACTCAATGACTCAAAAAATTTCTTATGTACTCGTAATGTAATGACGAAGGAAATATTTTAGTACCATCACAAATGAATATTATATTTATATCGTTATTGATGGTTTTGAAGATGGTGATTGAAAAGAAACTATTGCAGATGGCAAACCAAACATTGACAAACCTACATGAATTAAACTTGGATTTTTCCCCACATCCATCGTATTCACCAGACTGTTAGTTGACTTCAATAAATGCTCAGCGATACGCTTCAATGAAGAGGTATCTCTCTCAAACTGAGTCCCACCATTTTGAGGCAAAAGATAAATCCTTCCACAAAATTAGTATTGAAATGTAAGCGTGGCACTGTAATGATTGTAGGGCTTTTGGTCCAGGTACTTTTCAGTACATTTGCTATCTCTTAAGGATAAAATGAAATTTCTAAAAAAAAATCATACAAAAAGTATATGATTAAAATTAAACCGAACTACTGTAAAGCCAGCTCATAAGAGCACCCATTTGCTAGAAAAATCGTTCCTAAAATATGCGAAACAGAAATTATTCGAATTTTCACTTGCATCACCCGGCATTTACCAGCTTACACTCACCTATTGCATTATAAGCAGACAAATATAATTTTAAAACAAATTTAAGTACAAAATAATTAAGTAAATAAAATAATTAATATAAAATTATTAGCTAATAACATTTACACATATGTATGTATGAATGTATATACACATATTTGTAGAAAAAAAATCCAACAATTTATAAAACAGGCAAATTTCATGTAATTTGAATGATAATTAAATTTTGCATATTTAATAATTCTTTTTTAACACAAAACTATAAGTGTGCAAAACAAATATACATACATACATATATAACAAAAATGAAAAAATAAATGCAACACAATGAAATTAAACATATATTGTAGATCAGAGTAATAATAGAAAATAAAACAAATATAAAAATAATTAAAAGAAATACAAAAAAAATTTTAAAGGCTACATTAAAAATTTGTTAATTAAAAAAAATATTTCCACTAAAGACATAAACGTGTTTGCAGAAAAAAATTCAGTCAGCATTATGAAAATAGTTAGAATAGAAAAAATAAAGAAACAAAAAATAAAAGTAAAAATAACCGCCCCAACCTTCTATCAAAATAGGAAAAAACGCGAAAATTAATATTAAAATTCATTAACGGTCGTTACAACTACAAGGAAATTAAAAAAAAAATATACTTCACAAAAACATGACAATTCAATTGAGGGGTAAAGTCGATTCTAAAAAAAAATAGCAAAAACAACAAATATAAGCGCTGAATAAATTAATACAATTGCTGCTGCTTATAGAAAAAATGTGATACATAAAAAGTAGACGTTTCAATGTAGACACACACACACACTCACACGCGACAGCGCCGAAAATGCTGCCAATTTTTGGCCATTGTGTATGCATTTTAACGAGTGCGGCAAATAAGTAAACCGAAAAATGGAAATTCCAAAATAAAAAATTTAAAACTTTAGAATACAAAAAATTTCAAAATCAAAAATTCAAACGAATTCCAGTGAAAATCCAAGAGCATGACGCCTAAAAAACGCTAACAAACTAAAATTCAGCAATTGTTGGCGATTTGGTTGCGAACAAAAAGAGCAACAACAACCGCACGAACAACAAAGATAAGAATGGCCAATAAGGTGAATGAGGGGCGTATGACAAAATGTTGCAGGCGACATCAATTAAATTTGAAGCGCTTTTTCCGTTTGCGCGCTAACTTATTCCCCCCAGTTGCGCGTTACAGAGAAAATCTGTTAATTAAAACATTTTTGCCAACTGGCAGCCTCACGCCAAAAAGTATGCATCAGTTTTTGCCTTGCTCATTCTGCTACGCGTATTTTTTTGTATTCAACTTTTATTTTAAGAGGCAATTTAAATTCATCGTTTCCGGCGTAGCTGAATAACTGCAGCGCGTAGCAACCAACAGGGAGGAGGTGGGAGTGGTGCAGAGAAAGCCCAATGAACGGAACCGTCATCTTTTTATTTTATTTTTCCTCTGTTTGGCCATCCTTGCAACAACAAATACTAAAAATTAGTTTAATAGCTGTTTTGTATATATATGCATATGTATATATGTACATTTGTTTGAAATTCCGTACAGATGGGCGTGAGTACATAGCTTGATAAAACCTTTTTTATATTTTTATATTTTTAGTGGACCTGCATACAATTTTTTTTATTCCATTGTGATTGTACAATATATATGTACATGTACATGTGCACAACAAAAGCAACTAAAATGTACAAGAGTGTTAATGGAGAAATTGAATAAATGCAAGAGCCGCTGGACAATTGGCGCGCTTGGCACAGGAAGAGGAGAGCAAGTTGCCGCAGGTGATGTGCATATGACAAAGTGGTACGCTCACAAACACATTTGCATGCATATTTGTATGTTTTCATATACATTGTACATACATATATGTATGTTCGTAAGTTCATATGTAAATTTACCTACACAAACTTCCCATTAATGCAAGAGCATAAGAAGCATACATATGTACATATGGTCAAAATGCATTGGAGACGGATAGGGTTGAGTGGTCGATCGGCCACAATAGCACAAGGATAATCATTTATAACTGAGCTAGATATTAAAAATAATATAAATAATATATAAATGAAAGCTTTGTAAAATATAAAAAAGAAAATACAAGAAAGCACACTAGAGGGGGCCAAGCAAATAATATAAAAAAGAATTATTACTTTTTTAATAGCAGGCATTTATGTCTTAACGAAGATACTCGTCGAAGTTGAGCCCGATTTTATCCGGCAAACTGCGATCTAACACCGTTTAAGTGATGCCGATAAGATGCCGTCAAACAAAATATGAATTTGTTGAGCTATAACAGATTTGTAAGCAGTAATCAGCAGTCTAATAAGAGCCCTAAATAGAAGAAACAATTCTCCCCCCGAACTTTTTTGCCATCACATTACTTGTAAGCATTGCGTACTGCCATTCGGAAGAGGTGGATTCAAGGCTTTTTAAATTTATTTAAATAAAAATTTGATTAATCATATTTATGACATGATGATGATCAAAGCTCCTTATAAAAAAACATCAGCCGTTCGGAGGCGGCTTAGTATAAACTGTAGGTCCCTCCATTTGTTGGAAAACATCAAGACGCATACCAAAAATTGAAGAAACAGCTCGGCCAAATAACAAAATAGTACTTTCAAAAGGAATTCTTTCAGATAGAAAGGTGGATGGCAAAGCTAAAATATTCTCGTCCATCACACATTCAATCCAGTAGTGGTCAAAGTTCAATTCAATAAAATAACTGATAGCATTATTGAACAAGGAAATGCGAGAGAATTAATAGCTCAATCAGTTCAAATCAAACTCCTCAGCGTGATTGTGTGTGTGTACGAAAGAGCCAACAAAGGGCAACAACCATTAGTGTCCAACATAAAAACGATGATTACGATGCTACAGACGAGGTAGCATGTACACGTATGGTAAGTATGAACATATATGTGAGGCTTTGTGATAGTGAGTGATGGTGGGCCGGATGGTTTGCTTGCCCTCGAAAAGTGTCATTTTAATTAAAAATTTTGTTTAAGCTCGTCACATAAAAGCAAGTAGCAATCATACGCACAGACATACCCACACGTATTCATTTAGCGTTGCACTTTTGCAATATTTTTTTCTTTTCCTCCGCTCTTTTTAATGCAGATTCTGCTATTTTTTTGGGTAGTCCATTTTTTGCATCAGTTCACTTTATGAAGCTTCTTAAATATTCACTTTTGGCATAAGGCACTGCCACGGATGTGGTTTGCCGACCACTTCAATCGTTTTAAAGTATTTTCAGTTGCAGTTGCATTTACGTTAATAAATACGTACATACGCGCATTATGAGACATTTTTCTGGTGAAAGTATTAATTAACAAAAATTACCACATCTACTTTACTTTCTTCTCGCTATAATTTTCATTATTCACATACGTGTATATATGTATGTATGTATATCGATGCAATAAATATGTAAATAAAATAAATATTTTCTTTTTCTTTGCCACTTACCTTTGCCATCGATGGCGTTGTTGCCTTCAGTCGTTGTGAATGTTATTGGCCCGGCTGCTACCGCTGTTGCTGTTGTAGCAGGCGTCGTAGCAACATTTGTGGTCAATGTTGTTGTTAGCGAAACGCCAACAAGTGTTGTTGTTAACGCACCTGTTGTTGTTGTAGTGCCTGCTGTTGAACCCACTCCAACAACACTTAAAGTATCCATGGAGTTGCTGATATTGCCATTGTTGTTGGTGCTGATAGTAGGATTACTACTGAGTCCGTGAATATTCGTAGTGGAGGAGTTGATTAATAATGTGGAGGAGGAAGAGTTGTTGCTTTTGTTATTAGTATCATTGTTATTATTATTATTGATGTTTGTATTTGAAGAGGAGGAGGGTGAAGAGTTTGCGTTGGAACCATCTGCGTTTGTCGTAACGTCGAGACGCTTCCGTTTGGGATCACTGGAAATTGTGGGATTGAATAAACAATATTATTATTATTGAAATGTTTTTGAAAAAGATTTATTTTTTTTTTGTTTTTTTTTTTTTTTTAATAATAGAACTAAATATGTTGACATGAAACTCTTTCTCAAATACAAGGCGAATAAAAATTTGTAATGCTCACATATAGAAAGTTCTTTTGTCAGAAGTACAAACTTCGAATAAAAGTGTTACAAGCATTCTGCCCCATCAGGAACAACAATAAAACGTTGGTTCGCTGACGTCAAACGTGGTCGTAGAGACACCGATGATATAATACGTAGTGGAGAAATCATAAAAGAAAAATGCACAAAATCGTTTGAAACGATCGAGATATGAAGTTTTGTGAGTTGGCAGACACCGTAGAGATATAAAAATAACAAAACGATCTTCCTCTGAGTGGTGAACCTCGTTCAAAGCCCTCGAAACCACAAAAATAGGATTTCATGTTATTTATAAATCCTGCCCATTTTTATATTTGTCTCATTTTTACTACTACTATTTCCCACAAATTTTTGTTTTCAAGTATGTACTCACCTAACATCTGAGTTGCCATCGTTGCCGGCGCCAATGCCTTCCACTTGCGCCGCCTTGAGCTTCTGCCCAAGAAAATTGCCCGCGGTTGTTGAGGTGGTGGGCGTCGCCACACTAACGGCGCTGCCCACTTTATTGCCACCACAAAGGGCGCTGTCTTTCAAATTAACGCCGTCTATTGCTGCTGTGACGATCTTATCGCTCGCAGCAGTGACTTTACCATCTTCGTTGGCGACTGACGCAGCCACCGCTTGTGCTATTGTGTTAGCATATATGGTTTTGACGCCGTTCGGAGTGCCAGGTGGATGATGAGAGAGGCCAGAATTGCTATTGCCCGATAAAAGTGGACCACTGTTGTTGACGACACCAGCTCCCCCACTACTTATGCTGGTGCTGTTGTGACTAATGCAAGTTTTGTCGTCCACCAACGTTTGGCTATCCACTTCCATTTCGTTATTCGCCACCACTGTGCCGAAAGCTGTTTTGGGCTTTTTGCTATTTGCATCAAAGTTTGTAACATTACTGTTGCAGCTACTACTGTTGCTGGTTGTCGCCGCTGAAACAGTGGTTGTTGCATTCGCTTCACCGGAATTCCACTCGTTGCTTTTCGCTTTCGCCGCAGTGCCGCCCTGTGCCGCATCGGTTGTAGCGGTGGTTGTTGCTTGCTGGTTGACAGCTGTGCTTTCAGTAGCTTTTTCAGCTTCTGCAGCTTTTGGCGTTGCCGTTGAACTCCCACCCGTTGTGGTTGCGCTGTTGTTGTTGCTATTGGACGTGTTGTTGGATTTTTGTGCTGTTGTAGTAGCAGCGTTCGCTTTTCCTTTAGCTGCTTCAGTCGTGTCGCCAGGGCCAGTAGATTCTGCTGCCGCCGAGCTAACATTGCCGCTGTTATCGCCCTTATTTGTGGACTTGGCCTGAGCGGTAGCGGCAGCTTTCACCGCGTCCGCTGCTGCGCGCTCAGCGGCACGTTCTGCTCGCTCAACACGTTCTCGTTCCGCCGCAGCCGAGCGTCCACCGGTCTTCTGTTGCTGTTCACGCTGAAGACGCGTTGTCACGCCAGTCGTCAGCGAATCGATAATACATTGAGCCTGTTGTTGTTGGGCCTTTTGGGGATTACGCGACGAACGAGTCCGTTGCCTTGACTTTCGCAGCAGTTGCTTGTAATTCTCCGTCTTTTTGCTGAGGTAGTAGTAGCGTACGCAATCCTGTGCCGACTTGCGATCTAAACTGGCTGCAATGGCGCCAAAATTCTTTGGATGCTGCAGGAATTTCTCTTTGAATATTTCCTTCTCTCCGGATGTCCATACATTAAGCGTTTGTCGCTCCTTGTGGACTGCTACCATATCTTCAATGAAGCCGTTTTCATTGTGGTAGACACAGCGACGCTGACGGGCATCAAACATTAGCGGCGGTATAACGGCGTATGAACGCATCTTCTTATCTTCCATAGCCTGCTCTTGCAGGCCATCCATTATTTCCTCCAAATCGGCTTCAGATTTGATACGTGAGCCAACACGGTTGAAGCGTTCCTTATCCTCACGCTGTTTTCGCAGCTCCGTAAACACCTTTTCAAAGAACTCACGGTTTTTAGCCTCCCTCGCCTTTCTTTTCGCGCTGCCTTCGGATTTTTCAACGCGCTTTTGCCACTCACCTGACATCTGCGCATATGTCTCCACCAATCCGGTGTTGTGTGTCCAGCGCTCCTGCTTCAGCTTACCTATGTGCTCTAGCAGAGGGGCCCGCACCGTCGTCTGGTGTCGTTTGATCAACGCTGTCAGTCCTTCGACATCCAATGGCTGATTATATAACGGTAATTTTGTACTGATACCGCAATGACTAAGTATGGAATGTCGAGCAGCGGCCGTTTCGCGGTTCGCCTCGTAAATTTTTTGCGCCATTGTCTGTAGTTTCCATGAATACTCCATTTTAGTAGTATCAGCATTCTCAGCTGCAAGCATCTCCTCCTCGCGCTGTTTCTTGCTCAGAACGGCCTTATCAGTAAAGCTCTTCTCTTGCTTGCGCAACGTATCCATTGTATTTTCTGCACTCTGTATTTCTGCGTCCACTTTCTGTATTTGTGTGAGCAGATCTTCCGTCACGGCGCTACCCCGTTCATCGACATTATCGGCTGGCAGTGTGGGCGAGATGGCTTCGACTTGCGGATGGTATCCCTCTGATGAAGATGACGATTTCGTCGGTGTTGTTGGCACTGCTCCACCAGCTGTGACCAAAGGGGATGCATTTGGTGTAGCATTAATGACGCCAACGCCCACACTAACGCCAACACTGACACCAACTCCACCAATGCTACTATTTCCACTCATTACCGCGTTCGATGAAATGCCACGATTTATAGGCGGCGCTGCTACCGAAGACAACAAAGCTGGTTGTGTTTCCACTTTCAACTGCTGCATCGCTGAGGGAGGTGGCTGGGTATGAACTACATGACTGCTAGAAACCACGGTCAAATGCGAATGTGGAACCGGCTGGAGTATCTGAGCGGCACTGTTGCGTAAGCCGCTACCTGCTAGCATTTGATGTTGTTGTTGCTGCTGTGCAGCAACCAGTGCAGCAGCCGATGGTGACGGTTGTCGTGGTTGTGACTGCGTTGCATTCACTACTTTAGGTGGCAGGTGATTCGTGTTGTTGACTGCATTCGCCGTCGCCTCGCCCATACGCATTTTCTTATACGGTTGTCCTCCTGGATCGGGTGGTGCCTGTGGCTGCTGCGTATGTTGCTGCTGCTGCTGCTGCTGCTGTTGATGCTGGTGCTGGTGCTGGTGCTGATGTTGCTGCTGTTGGCTTCGCGCATTCGCCATATACTCACCGGAATAGGGATGCGCTGGCAGTATGATACGCTGACGTATTAAGCCAGAATTACTCGCCCCGGTATTGGCATTGATTGATGAGGGTGCACCACCGCCTCCACCATTTGCGCCAGTGTTTGAAGCATTAAGCACATGTGCTGATTGGACCGCTTGTTGTCCTGAGGGGGGCTGTTGATGCGCGAAATGCAAAGCTTCAAGGTGGGCTGCACTGCCCACACTAGGTGGGGGCGGCTGTAGACCACCGCCCGGTACTTGCACAACACCAGACGGAACCTGTGCGCTACCAGCACTGCCACTTGCCGCCGCAGCGGCGGCAGCAACCGCTGCGCGTTGGAAATCGGGTGGCATTTGAGGTATTCGCGTATAAGGGTTGTCACGGTACTGTGGGCCTGGCGCCCCAATGCCATAAGAGCTTTGTTGGATGTAGGGATGTGGCGCTTCCCGCACCGCATTGAGCTCCGCGTACTTGACGTACGTGTTGGCGGCGGCTGCCGAGCCGGGGCCAGGTCGAGGTGGGGATAAGGGACTAGCTGCCGAACGGGCGGTCTGTTGTTGTTGTTGCTGCTGATGATGGTGGTGATGATGAGGCTGCTGTTGAGCAGCTTGTTGTTGTTGTTGCTGCTGCTGTTGGGCGGCCTGTTGTTGCTGAATTTGTTGTTGTTGTTGTTGTTGTTGCTGCTGCTGCTGTTGTTGCTGTTGCTGATGCTGTTGGTGCATTTGATGCATCTGCTGGTTGAACTGCTGCTGAGCGGCTGCCGCGACGGCTGCAGCTGTAGCAGCCGAGTGAGTAGGCTGCTGGCCAAGTGCATTGCCGCTCTTCGTATATGATGGCGGCCCGTCGATCGGCCTGTAGAATCAGAATTGGGACGAAAACCAACCGATTATTAGATTTATTTGTAATAAGAAAAAACTTTTTGAGTATGATTTGTGTATAAAAAAATAGATTGAAAGCGATTCGTTGTCATTAAAAGATTGCTATTTGAATGTGAATAAAATTCTCATTTTCAAAAAAGCAGGCTGAAGCACATACATACATACCTTCATACCTATATTTAGTATACTCGTGCACCACATAACATAAATTTGTTTAAAAAAAAAAAAACAATATGAGAGAATGTGTTTTATTTTGCAAGTAGTTTTATTATAAAACATATCTATTCATACATTTTGCGAATTTTAAATAAATTAAAGAATAATGTATTTTTTTTTAATTTATTTTACCAAATTTCCATTGTTACGGTTAACTTAAAACGGTTTCATTAATCAAAGAAATCTGTAAAATATGATTCTTTCTATATAGGCTCAAAATATATTGGTGCATCCATAACTCGTGAAAATATTAAAAAAAAAATCAGACATACTTTGGGTTCTTAGTTAGCCGTTACAGAGGTATCGAACTTCAACTAACTATAAAGTTTATTTGTTTTGCCATTATATTCATCTCTTCAGGCTATTTTGTAGTCGAAGCTCGTGCAAAATCTTGAAATAAACATGTTTTATTTGCACAAAATAACTAGATCGCATAAGTCACATATAAACTATATTATGTTTCCATACGAGCAGCATTTTCATTCATTTGCATCAATTTTAATAAACTAATTTGTAACGCCTTTGGCTGCAATAATTTAGTTTTTATCAGTTCACTGCCAAAAATTTTTAGCCATCTTTCCATATTATTAAGTAATCCTTTTCAGACCCTAATCCATTCAGATAATAGGCTGCGCATAAACATTATAATTTCATAAATAAAATGTTTTCGCTTAATTAAAACTAAATTTTATATTTATAGCAATAAATCATTAACATTATGATCGACTAACTATAAACCTATGAATCCTAAATATATTAATATTATAAATTTTAATTCAGTCGCTGCCTCTTCACAGATACTGTACGAACTGACGGTGGCGGAACAGTTGTTTGTTGTAGCGCCTTTTGCGCTTGAGCATTCATAGGCATGGCCTCCGCTAGCATTGCTACTGTGCGACGCAGTTCCGCAAGTTCGGCTTGCATTTTGTCAATATTCGCTCTAAATAAATACAAAATATTAGTGAAACGCAGTAGAGTGGTTCAATTTAAATGTGAGCACTCACTTATCTCCTGGTTGTATAGATACGGTAGCAGCGGATGATGGAGTAGGTGTACTTTGTAAACTCGCTAATGGTACCGGCGTTATTAATGGTACATTGGGTGTTGCAGTTGCAGGTGTCTGAGATGGCTGTGGGACACTATTGATGGATGGTTCTACCAATTGTCCAATGGTTTCTCTACTCGCGACAGCGGTTATCTTCAAATTCGGATGCATGCGCATGGGTAACTGTATAGTTGCGGATTTCGACGCAGCACTAGCGGCAGCATTTCCGACTGTAGGCGTTGCGGTAGCATTAATGAGTGTATTAGATGTGTTGTTTACTGCTGTTGGCGCTGTTGTGACGGTTGTATTTGTAGTAGCAGCCACGTTACGTACATTTAAAGGTGTCGAAGTAGTAATGGTATTTACACCATTTGGTGTTGGTGCACTACTGCAAACAATCGGTACGCTGGGACCATGTCCTGCCATAAGTTTCTTTAACATTTGATCTGCACTCACTTTTTGAGACTCGAGCAATTTTCGCATTGTCGCTGGATCACCTTCATTAATTTTACGCAATGAATCACCATCAGCATCCACGACAACATAATTTACAATATGTGCATGTGTGTTTGGCACAATACGAAAAATTGTTTTAGGCTGAACAGTAGTGTTAGGATTTGGATTCTTCAAATCACTTAATTTAGCAGAATTGCCTTCTACTTGGAAAACAGTTGTGAAACCATTTATAAGCATAGGTTTCTCCATAACGGTAGGCTCGGTTACAAACTGTGTTATTTTACGCTTCGGCACCATTGAGACCAATTTAATGACGTTACAATCGGCACTTTCGCAACGGCGCTCAACATTACCACCGCCCGTTGCTGATGACGACCCACCGCCAGTAGCATTACTCGCATCGTTAGCTGCTGGATTAGATATTGTGGCTAGTGCAGACATTACAAAATTGTAAGTTGTTAAATGATAATGGTAAACAAATTTTAATTTTATGTTATATAGGTACTCCTGTTCTTGGTTTATAAAAGTTTTTTGAGTTACGTTTATAAATCTGCAAATAAATTATTAATTAGTACTCGGTAGTCAGAAGTTTAGATATGATTTCACTTACTTGTAAAATGTGAAGACAAAAACAAAACTTTGAAGTCCACTGTTGTAATACTCTAATAGAGTATGTATGAAGAGGCGATATACATATAGTTTTACATCAAATCGACAGATTTATTTTCCTTGCTTTATGGTATTTTATTTTCGAAATTGTTAAATTTTTTTTCTTTTAGAGTGACAATTTGATATTTTGTTATTATTCTTGTGAATTACGCTATCCATAAAGAATGTTGCATGCGTTTAGTGACTTAGCTTGGTAAAATAGATTAAATATTTCAGAAACACTGTTTAATAATAATGAAGACAAATTTATGGGCTTTATTTATCTTCAAATAAATTTTTTATAAATAGTAGTTTTAAACGAAAACAATTTTCTCACAACCGATTCATTCGCGAAAAACTTTACAAATGCTCGAGACTCTAACAACGAGTTGTTCGTTGCTCGCTGCGTTTGTCAAAATTATGTTCGTTATTTCTTCTCTTCGTGGTGAAATTATAAAGCATATGCACGTCTTCTTTGCGAAAGCGAGTAAAATATACTTTTGAGATGTTCGTTGTCTTTTCGACCGATTCGAAAAATCCATGATGGCCGTCAAAACGTAAGCCTCTATTCAAAGACATGCGCTAGACAGAGATGTCGTGAGAAATGCACATCTGCTTGTGCTCTTCAGTTTCATGTAAGAATTAAACAAGTGTGCGTAAATTCATGATGGCGTCTATAAGCGCCATAGCAACGAAACGGTTGAAGAAATTGTTCGAGTTGTAACATTATTCTCATAAATTGCAACCAACATGTTGGTTGTTTGAACCATGTTTGAGTTTTAAGGGTTAGAAGCAATTGCTTGGACATGTTTGAAGGTTTCAGGTGATTACAGAGTAAATGCACAAATTCAATTTCTTGCTTCTTCCTTTCTACTTGAGAATGAGCACATTTTTTTTTTGCAACTTAAAGAACTTAGTTACAGATTTTTGATAGCTCAAGTTTGTTAAATAATTCAAGTAAGAAATCTACATACATGTATATTCAAACATATTATATGTATGTTTTTATGTACATATATTCATACTGGATTTATTTGAATTTGCAATAATACAGGTTACGAGCAATAAAACTACATATGTAGTTGTATGAATGTATGTATGTGTGAATATAGAAGAGAAATCATTGAAAACAGCTGCACGAGCCACCTACGCAATTCCAAAATACCGCACCCTTATTGACGGCAAGAATACGTAGATATGTATATACATACATACATATGTACATTTGTTACAAACCTAGACTACCAGGTTATCTTATAATTTATGCGTACATATATAATTACATATTTATATACAGACATATGTATGTATGTATGTATATCCACATACAAGCACTGTAATATTCGATTGGTTTTAGGTACCTCAGACTAAAATTTATCGCACAAATTACTTACGTATTCTGTACAAATGTAGGTATGTACATACATGTATGTATGTATATACTATATACTAGAAATCGGAACTTTCTGTTTTTATAAAATGAATCCCATCTAGACTATTTAGAGCCGAATTACAGAAAACAAATGCCAAACTAATATGTATATATGCATCTAAGTACATAAAAATAGATTTGTACATACATATGTACGTATGTATGTAATGATATATTGTTATCGAAAAGAAATTATTTAGAAATAGATTGTGGTAAAAATTAATAAATGAAATAAAATCAATAATTCACAAATTTCCATACAACTATTTCCAAGTTGTTGTTGTTGTTGTTATTATTATTGTTATTGTTGTAGTGGTAGCGGCTCATCGGCTGTGTGTCGGCTTAAGCTCACGTGGGTCCTCGAGCTCGAGCTCGTTGTGTGCAATGGGTGGTGTTGACTGACTCCTGGTAAATGGCGTTCAGTGCTTGTACGCCATCCTGTCCCCCGGTTTTTGCACATATTGCAGGATGGTGTCCTTCATGTCAAATATTCCCTTTCTGACGCGCCTAGGTGGTGGTTCAGCTTCAATAAGGAATTTTTTGCCCAGCAAAGCATAATACCGTGCACAAAATGAAGGTTGTCTGTTTCTCCAGCCGACATGCATCTCCAAAGCATTACCGACCACCACCGTGCTTGAGTGTTGCCTAGTATGTTTTGGTCTCGCGACAAACTGTTTCAGTTGAAACCTTCTTTCTTTTTTCATTTTCTAATATATTGTTGCGAAAATGCGAGGCGAATGTCAGATGAAAGAAAGAAGTCAGTTACAAAGTGAGCTCGTTGGCGTTAACATCTGTTAAGTCGTAAAGTGAACGCGTTGGGAATTACATTTAAGTAGAGTAAATTGTGAAAGTTGATGCAAGTGATTGTAGGTAGTAAAGTGTCTTGTAATTGAATTGTGAATCGCTGAGTAAATAAAGGACATTAGATAGAATCTTTATAACGAAAGAAACTGCAAATTAAGTTGGCGAGTTTTATTTAACAATCCAGAGATCGTACCCGAAGGATTCAGGGAATCATCGAGGTTGATTTAGTAAAATCGTAACAATATTTTTAATATTTTCCGCCGAGGAAAAACTTGGCAGCACTGCTTTTTCGTCCTTGTCAATTACTTTTGCCAGTTGTCACGTTACGAGTTATTTCTTTAATTTTTGGTCTGTGAATTAATTAATTACTGCTGTGAGGTTTCCAAAAACAAAGTACAAGAATTTTCTTGTAATTTTATGTATGTGCACAGCTAAATGGTCAACTTTAAAACTTGTTTTGACAACTTATGAAAACATTTTTAGTCCCCAAAAAATTACAAGGAAGAAGTACATATTTTCAACTATTTTCACTATTTTCACTTCTTCTTTCTATCTTTTAAGTTATATAAATACTAATTATAAATTAAAGAAATATTAATTTTCACCAAACAAAAGTACAATTACAAAAAAAATCATACTTCTAATGTTTGTACGTATGTATTTGGCAAACGTCAATATCCATGTGGACAGAGGCAGTATCGACATAATAATATACAACCGTACATTCCTATGTATGTATACATACATACAATAAAAGCGGCAGCGTGCAGCAAAATGAAAATGAACAACAAACACCTCTGCGAAGCCCAGCAATAATAACAAAGACGGTGAAGGAGAAAAAAAATTAAAAGAAAAGTGTACTGAAGTGAAAAAAATCAACTAGAAAAAAATTAAAGCGATGCACTGAAGTGTAGCGGTCGCTACGTCGCTAACGGCAAGCAACAATAACTCCCTGGGCAACAGCAACAACACCCAAGATTACTGAAACTGATTGAAGTTGTAATAACAACAAAGTCACAATACCGCGAGGAACAACTGCAAAGACGTGAAACCAACAAATGCGATATAGTTTGAAGGCAACGGTGTCCCCTTCCGTCTACCCCTGGATCCCCCTCACGGACGTTTTCCCTTGACAATCAACAATGCTATTACCGCTGCGTTGTGCTGCACTGTTTTTAATTTCTCTTTGGTGTTTCTACGTTCTGTTTTTATGTTACATGCATATCTGGTACCTGCTAACTTGCCCGCTACCTCTTCCACCGAATATGCTCAAATACAACAAAAAATAAAAAGAAAAGCACATAAAATAATACACAAACATTTTTAGTCTATTTTTGTCTTGTATTTACAACAACGATCAACATCAGCTATAATATAACGACCGCAACAACGTACGTGCAGAATATAATAATTATAATGACAACAACAATAAGAAATTTATAATTGAACGTGTTCGACGGGATGTGTACCTGCATACATTTATACCCATATACAATTTTGGGCATGTATTGGTGCATATGACAGCCGAAGCAAAAGAGAACAACAACACAACAAAATAAAAAATACAAAAAGACGTTGAAATAAAAACCCGTCAGCTGCCAGCTGCGCCAAAAACAACGTGGACGAGTATCAGTTGTAGACGACTTCGCAGTTTCACAACGTTCGTACTTGCTTGAGGGGTATACAGCGAGAACTGTGCTTTAACAGCGGCGTCGGCGCAGACTGCGAACGTGTTATTACAGCACATTTTACTGCCAAGCTCTGACGTTAGCAGCTTTGTGTTCCCTGACCGAGCTACAGTGTACGACGCCAACTCGCCAACCGATTTTATATGCACACACAAAATTATATACATGTGCATATATATATATATATATATATATCATATATATAGAAAATGAACACGTATGAAGTATATGTTTAGCTATATATGAAATCGCACTGCACACAGAGGTCGTTCGTTTGTTTGCCCAAGCGTTCGTCGAATGGTCGGATGGTTCGACGTGCCGCCGCTCGTTGCTCACCAACTCGTCTGACCACTGTTGTGCTGTGTGGATTTTTCTGTTATTTTCGCTTGTTCATTATAATTTTACTACAGTGCCGACAGGCAGCAACAAAAATAATCTATAATTCGTGTGCACATAAATGTGCATGTGTATGTATGTATTATATACATACAAATGTCTACTTACGTCTGCTTTTTCTTTTATTTTATTATTCGTATGTTCCTTGACGAGAAAAAAATGAGAAAATAAACCAAACCAAAAACAAGAACAAGATTAGCAAGGGTGCGCATAAATATGTATTAACTCGGCAACGTAAAGAAAATTCCAAATACATAACTGTGGGCAACAACAGTAGCAGTGAATACAACACAGTCGACAGCGTTGCGACGTTGCCAATTTTCATCACGGTTCGTGTTTGGCGCATTTATCCGCAGAGCCAAGAAAAACCAAAAATAAAGACGGCAACGCAAATGGAAAAAGCACACAAAACCTGAACTGCTTGAATTGAGTAATACAAGAAGAATATACAATATGTATGTATGTATGTATGTATATTATATACAAGCAAGAATTATGTTTGCTCTTTAAAGAGAAAGATAAGGGCACAAAAACTTATGTACATATTTATTTTGCAAAAACGAAAATATGTGGCCATATCTATCTACATACATACATATATGTATGTAAGTACATATGTATATAAACTTACTTGTTAAGTGAGATTTTTGCATTCAGCAATATGCTGCCACGAACTTAATGAAATCTGAGGTTTTCAGCTTTAATTTTTTATATTTTATTTTTTATTTCATATTAGATTAAAGAAGAAGAGAAGAAGAAACGAAAATCTGTAGATTTGGATGGACTCGTTTACGTATTCCAGATTTAGGAGGCAAAAATGAATTTAAGCAATGTTGAAAAATTGCCAACGCCAGAATTATTGTAGATCCACTACTACCACTATTATACAACCCAAGGTTTCGATCAAACAACGGTTTTTACAGTATGGAGGAAGCAAATAAGTACAATACCAAGATTCTTCAATTCTTTGATAGCGCAGGTACATACATACATATGTACATATCCACCTTGTACTTAGCAGTAATAAGAACCGTTACTACAAAAACAGAAAACTAATTCTCCATCCGATAATATAAATTTCAGGTTCTGTCGAACTAATTTGGTTGCTATTTCATATTCTGAGTTCACTGTCACCCTGTATGTTTTGTTACCAGCGAAATAGGAGGTAACAAACTATCAGCTATTCGATTTTGTGTTGTTAATTTAAGAAAAAATAAGAAGAAAAGGATGGAGAAGCATGTTAAGAAGTTTGCAAACAAATTGTTTAAAGCGTATAAATACATTGACACCATATAACAAGGGCGTTTGATGTTCATTTTCATATGTAATTTCTAAATGGAATTTTTTTTAGGCCGTTTTATTTATTTATTTCTTTTCCCACGGG